GAAATACCGAAGATAAATCCCCTTTTAAAGTGTGCAAATCGCACAAAATTAAGGTCACTATAGTGCAAGGCTGATTTCTATATGTATGAAATCGCGCACTTGTGCCTTAATGCCTATATATATACTGGAAACTTTATAAGAAAAAGGCTGAACATTATACTGCAGCTGGACATAAAGACTGGTTTATAAAATTACATTGAATGAGTGATTCAAGGTGTAAATTAAAACCAACAAGCTAGATCAGGAATCTAAGAGTACTATTTTGTATCATTATGAATCATCTGAAGAAAAGTAATAAAATGGAAACACTTATATAGCTATCCAAGAGGAGTCAGGTGAGAAATCTTCAGTGGAGGAACTTGGAATAGCTTCAATGGTCAGTTAAGATGTTATCACCTATCGCTTGTTGAAATTACAGCTAAAATATACGTTAACTTCACTTTTTTTTCGTAACTAGTTTAGAACATATCTTTAATAAGGCAAATTCAAGTAACTTTCAATATATTTTTTTTACATGTTCCTGCACATAGTTAATGACATCTACGTGAACTGGAAGCCCAAAGGTACTAAACACAGTTTAGTGATCATTTTGCTTAGATAAAGGTCACGTATGACAAATACTATGCCATAGAAGCATGTACCAGTAGTTTTACCCTGTGCCTGTTTCTACTCCCTAGAGCTGGGCAAGCCCATCTCAAGGAATGACATTAGATACTTGTACAATTGGTATAAATTGGGGCTCTCTCTTTTTTCTATATATTATTTGGAATATTTATTGACATAGGTAATCTAAGAATTGTAAGCTATCGCAATAGGACCATTTAGTCTGACCTGAAAGCATGGTATAACATCATTCTTTCTTGTTTCGTTGTACGGTGTAGATGGGATTATTCGTTATCTTGTCTTGTCATGCATTAACCTTTTTGCAAACTTTCTCTCTTCACTCCAGCATCTAGCTTGAGTTATTATGAGTAATAAACTAATCAGTAAGCAAAACTATAACCACTATTGTGAATAAAGATATTGTTTTAATACTCTACATAACATTTCTGGAATATGCATATTGGGGATACATAATTATTTTCTGGCACACATCAGTGAGCCTGAATATCACAGTGATACCACTTGGAGTAATTACCTGACCAACAGTTAGGATGCTCACTCAATTGAAAAAAACAATAAGGAAGTGACAGTCCTTGATTTTGGAGCTATCAAAAGGTGTTTCACAATATGATATATGCACTAAACCACTGAAATATTCTAAAGTTACAGTGCTTTGTTAATCACAAAATTAATAGAACCAAAAAGGCATTGCGACTCTAACATTCCAAATTACCAAGCAATTTTTAGTATTGAGATACGTATTCGACATCTAGTCAAATAGTATCAAAATTTCTGCAGAGCACACTATTTGATATTTTAGTTTCATAGCCAGACCGATTATATTCAATGTAATGCTTAGAACAGTTACAGTTGGCAGGGCTGGAAATGATCACTAATACTTCTGATTGCTGAAAGGACTTTGTGATCCCTCTTTATCAAGCACTCAGGTAAATTTTTGTTGTGAACGTTTGTAGAATGATCTTATGATAAACCATCTGAGATTATTCGTGTGTGTAAGAGTGTCAAAGTAGTTTTTACATATAAATGTACAGTAATGAAATTTTGTTTTTAGCCTGCACAGATTATGAATTAGACTATGGTAAAACCTAGTAGAAAAGTCCTTGTTTCACTGTATTTTGTTAGCATTTGTTTCTGTAACACCACTGCAATAAAGACTGGAGTACAAACAGGGTCTGTGCGACGTGTTTTGCCACCCTGTGCGAACGCTGAGTGTTTCATCAACCCCCACTCCTGCTCTTCTGCCATTATAAGAAGTCTACAAAATTATGCCACCAAAAACCTATCACCCTATGCAAATGCATGTGCTCCACCCTGGATCGTACCAGCCTTGAGTTCAGAGTCCTCTTTTCTAGAGTGAACAACACTTGTATCGCTGTACATTTGTCACTTTGATTGTTTTTGTAATAAAGATTCATTACATCTTGTTCTACTTTGTGTTTGGTATCTTTCTTAACACCCAGTCAGAATCAAAATTTCAGTTTTAAATCTGCATAATATTTTCTGCTGTTCCTTCTGCTATTTATGATTACTATACTTGCCTGTAAGATTAAACAATGGACCGGAGAGTATCACAGACATACAGCTGGAGTTTCAAAGTGCAAATTAAAGGAGAAGCTGAACAAACGTTGTTTGAAGGAGTTGGCTTCACACCTACAGTTACACACACACACACACACACACACACTGACACAAATCAACAGAGGATATCTGATGATACAAGTTCAGAGCACTAAGGCAAACAGGTCTTAAACAAGTAAAAAATATACTCCTGGAATTACAGCTGATATCTTAGAAGCCGGGTCTAAATTAAAGTATGTCAAATATATTGATTTATAGGTTACCTATAAAGGCTGTGGAAATGCGAGTTAGAAAGACTTGTTGGACTTGATAATAGAATGTGGGAGGTCTATCACTGGAAGTCAAAGAAATTATTTATAAATAAACAGCATCCATTAGCAGATATGTGGAAATGCAAGTTAGACAGGATAAACTGACCAATTTATATTGTTAGTCTCTGGTCGTTTGTTAATTTCCCCTATAATTTCTTTCGGGTGAAACTTTAGCAATACAAGTCCTTTCTTAAATAAAACTGGTTTATTCTTTCTCAATACAACTTTGCAATACACTTTGCAATAATTTCCACGGTCAGTTTAACTTAAACACACGCTATAATTCACAACGATTCACGCACTTTAGTTACGGTCACTACCGCGCTTGACTCAATTGTCCGTCTCTATCTCTGCCTGTCTGCAATTATCTATGCCGTCACTTCATTTGCCGGCTTATATATACAAAAATAGAGGGCACGTAGAAAAGACTAAAGTTGCCAGGAACAGACATGATCCGTCTAGAATCTCATGACGTGTTACTAGAGTCACGTGACTTCCGCTGTCGTAACTTTGTTTTGTTTGTTTTTGAATTTCGCGCTAAGCTACACGAGGGCTATCTGTGCTAGCCGTCCCTAATTTAGCAGTGTAAGACTAGAGGGAAGGCAGCTAGTCATCACCACCCACCGCCAACTCTTGGGCTACTCTTTTACCAACGAATAATGGGATTGACCGTCACATTATAATGCCCCCCACGGCTGAAAGGGCGAGCATGTTTGGTGTGAGAGGGATTCGAACCCGCGACCCTCAGATTGCGAGTTGAATGCTTTAACCACCTGGCCATTCCAGACCCCTGTCGTAAAAATATGTTAATGTAAAGTGGGAGTTTAAGGTGTAATTGAATGCAGGAAGTCAAAGAGGTTGTCAGAAACTTACATTTTAATAAAATATATTTTAATGTAAGTATATGGGTGTGTTGGGCTAAGGATCTTCTACAGTAGGTGTCTGTTACTTGTTGGCAATAAATTTGACAATAAACGAACACCGTGCACTCCACTTGTTTTTGAAATAATATATATATATTCGAAACCAGTTAAATGTATGTACAAAATTCTTTACACTTTGGCGATCATAATTGTATCTTAAACGCTATAGAGTTCTCTTCTTGTTGTCAAAAGTCTACTTAGGCCTATTCAATTGTTTTAGAATTCACTTCACATGCCAAACTATTTTTCTCTATTTTTATCGCAATAGTATCCGTTTATGATTCACTTACGCTGAGTTACCGCAGTTGTATCCTGTACTTCCAAAAATCGTCTGCTTTTTCGTCAAAGTTCACACAGGCGGTTTTAATTAGCTTAGAACACCCTTTGACAAAACAAATTACTCTCTTTATCTCTTTCAAACTATTAATCTCACTTTAACATATCAACTGTTAGGCCTTTCACTCCTACAACGGTTAACTTTGCTTTTTCTAACTTTTCTCTTGCCGAACATCTCTTTCCTGTAACTTTAATTTTTACTCTCTCTCTCTCTCTTGCTGCTAGTCTGGTGCAGCTATTTATACGTCTATCACTTAGTTCTTCTAGAAATATCTATAGCCTCGATATCAATGAACTGCAAACACAACGTTCATAGCCTCGACATCAATAAATTACAAACACAAAATGAATAAATTAATAATACTACTTACACTAAACAGTCTTTTATATCTGACAGGGCCTGGCATGGCCAGGTAGTTAGGGCGCTTGACTCGCAATCTGAGGGTCACGATTCGAATTCCCCTTCCACCAAACATACTCATCCTTTCAGCCGTGGGGACGTTATAATATTATAGTCAATCCCACTATTCGTTAGTAAAAGAGTAGCCCAAGAGTTGGCGGTGGGTGGTGATGACTAGCTGCCTTCCCTCTAGTCTTACACTAAATTAGGTACGGCTAGCGCAGATAGCCCTCGTGTAGCTTTGCGCGAAATTCAAAACAAACAAATATCTGACAGATGTTGTCAAAGTAGTTCAACTTGGACTTATAGTTATACAGATATAATATTAATAGCAAAAGATTAAAAGTACTTCCTACAGTGACTGACTAAAGATAATATTTTGAAAGTTGATTTGCAAAGGGTGTTTGATGGTCTTACTTTCGCCGTAAGTTGTGGGCCAGGTTATTTGATATATAATGGTCATAACATAGGGATTTAATTGAAAATGCAAGTTAGAACGATAGTGAAAAACAAAACAAATTTATCGTTTTATTATGCACTGAGTGTTTGAAGGTGTATTTTAAAGCTGTGATCTTAATAGGTTGATTTCTGCGTGTATATGCCGTTTGCAATGTAATCTAATTAAATGTATATGTTTTAATTTAGTGTTGAATAATCATTAATAAAGCTTGAAGGAGACTAACAATAGCAGTCGAAAAATATAAATATCATCATGTTAAAAATATGTTTTTCTTACATATATAAATATGTGATTAAAATACTATAGAACTATCTTCTATTGTATTCGGGACCACTTGTGGCTCAATAAAAAGTCTGTTGCCTTACAACGCTAAAAATCGAGTTCCATTGTGTAAGTTTGCGTTTAACAACAAACAACTATAATATTCGAGATTTTTTAACCGCGTTGCATACTATAGCCTGAGATCACTTCACTGATTGATAATACAATTTAGTGCTTGGAGATGGACCAAAGCTAAAACTTGAAAACAAATCATGCTATATTACACATGCACCCAACTGAGGAAGAGATGAGGTAAAAACTAAATATAACTCGGCATTGAAACAATGTAGTACTCAATAATTACAATTTATATATTTGAACATTTTGTTGCACAAAATTTCCCTTCTTCATTTGATGGGATTTGTTTAGGCACGCACCTGGCTGAAGAGAAAATTAATAACAATTTAAATATAATGTAATAAACAAAGTGTGATTAAACTAGCTGACCACATTTATAATACTATACGGTATACCCAGTATCAGCACTCCAGTGTTAGGCCTGTTGATGACATCAAGACCGAACCCTGTACTGTAGAACAATGGCGATAGTAGGTGGTAAGTCTATTACATTAATTTTGTATATTAGTAAAATTTAATTTTTTTTGCCATAATTTCAGCATGTTAGATTAATGTATGTTTTCCCCAATGAAAAACTAAAATTCTAGATTTTTCAAATTATTTCAAGAGATAACATTAACAATAAGTAAGTAACAGTCTGTTTTGGTTCAATTAATGATTTTATTAAATAATACTGTTGAATAGTAGTACTATTAGTATTACTACTAGTAGTGTGTAGTGCTAGTAGTAGTAACGCTCAGTAACAGTCACTATTACCAAGAGTTACTACTGCCAGTACTGGTACCTAAGCACCACTCTACTCCAAATTGCCTATACTTGATTGAAACACTTTTTATTATATTGAACTCTACTTTCTTAAAATCAAATGCAAAATAGTGATCCAATGAAACGTTAAAGTATTGTAACTATTAGTTGTATACACTGAAGCCTATATTAGTTAATAACTGTTCCATTATATTTGCAAAAACACTCTATGACATAAAAGTAAAATTGCTTTAATTCAAAACATAACTGAAGTCATAATGCCTATGTTTTTTATATCTAACTTTTGTTCTGTTTTATTACCTTCAGGTTTTTTATGAAACCATCATCATAGTTTAAGGAATTCAAAACTTCTAACAATCTAAAAACCTCACTCATGCCTCCCTGAGCCTGTTTCCTCTGTAGCAAAAACATATAAGTAATAATAGTGTCAGAAGGCTCGTTAGGATATGTACAGTTAGATCTCAGAAAGTAAAATAAATAATGTTGGCTGACATATGTTAAGTCCTTCAGTGTAATTTGTTTAAATCGGGCAAAAACAGTGTCATACCCAATGTTATAATTATGTCGGGCACAGACAGTAGAATTTAATCTTAAACTTGATCCTGTTACTTTATCTCTTCTTTCAAATAACACTTTTCTATTACTAGGTGCGTTATTCCAAATGCTTACCCCAAGTTTGAGCTTTAGATTAAAAAATGATAAAATTTTGAAGGACCACAAGGGGCTCATTGTAGCTGTCTCATTAACTTCATCAAATACCCATCTTCCTGTGTCTAGCCTTGATTTTTTTTAAGTAATCGTCAAGCCTTTTCTTTAACTTTCCCAATCTTTTGTCTACCATGTCTGCAAGCAATCCAATCCAAAGGCCAACTGCCCTGTTAGAAAAATAAAATTGCCTAATTTGCAGACAACTTCTATCCTGCAAATTTTTAAATCCATGACCCCTCATCTATCACTTACCATTAAACATGAAAAATATGATGCATTAATCCCATATGTTTTCTTCATAATTTTAAATACTTCAGTCAATTCAGATTCTCTTTAACAATTCTTTTCTCAAGAAAATAATTTGAAGGACCTACACCTGTCTTCACATCGCAGCCTTTTCATCCCACAAAATAAAACTAATCAGGGATCTGCAGAAAGAACTTATAACTTCCTTTGACTTACATTTAATACAGAGTCGGCAAGTTGGTGAACTGACCATTTATTTTTTTGACTGTTAAAATAACCCAAAACCTGTATTAAATATTGTAAATAGCTGTGTATTAACAGAGGTTGATTAAGTTTTAGGCCTCAGAATCCTCCTCTGTCATAGCCAACATAATATAACAATATAACTTCATAATAATGGCATATTATTAAAATAAAGGTATAGAGCAAGTGCTATTTGCAGCATTTGCTCTGTTGTTGTAAGTGTGGTGACAAACCATAGACCTTTTTTCTTGTTTTCATGTAATTTATATTAGATTAAGTGAAATTCAGTATATGCATTTAAAATGAAAAAATAATAAATTAAATAGATGACGTTGACTGGCCAAGTGACGGTTTGTTTGGGGGGGGGGGGTAGTCAAATGCCCATCCTGTTTCAATATTCCTGTAGAAACAACCCAAAATTATATTTTCTTTTCCACTGGCAACAGCATACTGCCTGGAAAGTGTAAGAGACAGGTCAACCAAAACAGTAAAAAAAAACAATTTCCAGAGCCTGAATTTCAGGCTACTCAAATTGTGTATGTCTATTTAATATGCATGTCTTCATGAACTGTCTTGTGTGTAAGATGATGTGTATTTAACACAGGATATAACAGTTTATGTAGATGTTCTGTTTCAGTATCATAATATTTTATAAAGGTGTTTGAAAGGTTCAAAGGAACTACTATGGATGATCTTAGGGTTGGGTTACCTTACAGGGTTAATCTACTTTGTCTTGACAAAAGAAGGTTGAGAGGTTAATCCTATTGAAACTTACAAGATTATCTGAAAAATTGGTAGGACAGAAGCCTCTGATTTCTTTGTTCTATTTTCAAAAGATAATTGGGTGAGAAAACTCAAGTTTAAGATTTGGATTCTTAAGACAGGCTAGGCTGTAGTTAAGACAGTTAAAAATTATTTTTTTTAATAGGGTGATTGACTTACAGAATGAATTTGTGTTGGCATTAGCAGGGACCAGCACTTTGTGAGAAACCAGTTATGTACTGTTTGTTATTTCAGATGCGAGAAAGAGTTTGCTAATAATTATCCATACATTCCACTCATGATCATACATAAATCACATAACCACCTACTATTCACCTTATGAGCAATATTCTCTCTTCAAAGGCCTAACACTATGATGCCATAACTCGACATTCAGCCATGTGACCATGACTGACATTGAGCTTAATTCTGTATAACATGCATTGTTGATTTGTTCTTTATAAAGAGATATACAAAGGACTGTAAATACAATACATCTATATTTGCTGAGCTGGAAAAGTAATAGAAGTAAAGGCAGCTGTCCATGTAACATTGTGTTGGATTTACCATGTAATTTATAAATTCCTTTTAATAACAGTATTAATAAAGAGTCTATAATAGTTTGTAATATACAGTTATAAAACTCTGCTATCTCCACTCATTATGTATATGTGTTGTACAGTCTACATGAATTGTCATGTATTATGTATATGTATAAATAAACTTGTGTAATATTTTTATTGTGTTAAGCTGATTGATGTCTTAGTGTCCTGTGCACTTGAGGATCAACTTAATTTATAGGCAATTAAGAGGGAAATCTATGATTTCATGAAACATAAAGGGTTGGTTTAAATTTTGTTTTTTCAATGGTGGGTGAGAAAGGAAGACCTAGAAGGACCAATTTGTTCCTTGTTTATAGTAGGTTATATGATTTTAAAATCCTTTTTGGAGCTATGGCAGCATACATAAAAATAGCTAATGTTCTTAAAGTGATCTACATATAAAACTTATTGTCTTGACTTCCTTGTGTTGAATGTCTACATGTAAACTAATAAATTCCTAATATGGTAATAGGCATTATAAACCAGAAAATGCTTGGTGTAATTTGATTTTTCTGTATTATTTATTTTTATATTTTAACTCTAGTTATAGAAAGTGATTGTTTCCTTGCTTTAGATTTTTGATTTTAATTTCAATCGTTAGGCCTGTGTCTGTTCTTAAATTTTATGAGTTCTTCTTATTTTTCTTCATTAGTTTAAAACTTATAAATGAGCTTTCTATTTGAATTGATTAGTTTTTCAATAAGGGTTAAGGAATTTGATATTGTGTTTGAATGGTTATATTCCAGTTGACACTGTATACATAACTTTCAGTAAGCCTTTAGCAAGGTGATGCAGAAGGGATTTATTAGGTAGTTGGAATTAATTAAAGAATAAAAATAGAAACAATATTGGCATGATGCTATTATAAAACAAATGGTTGTGATATTTTAATGTTTCTAGCTGAGGGAATGCAAATACTTTCATACCCTGAGGTGTCTTTTTTTTTTTTTACATTTTTGTCATCGTTTTTTCCAGCAATTTTGGATAGCTTCTTGGTCCATGTTAATTGAAAATTTACTAATAATTAATGATTCTAAAGTATTTGAAAGAGCTGATACTACTTATAATGTTTTTATTATTCAGAATGATCTGTACAGTTTTTGTGACTTTCAGATGAAGGAAACTAAGATTCACTGTTTAGAAATGTAAAATATTGCAATTAAAGCATGAAAAATTAAAAATGTTTTCCTACTTATGTAAGAGTATTGTTAGTACTGGTATTGTAGAAAATTACGAGAATTTAGGTATATGATTCTTTTTAAAGATTCAAGCTTTCACTAAGTATTTAGTTGTGGCTGAAAGAGTTAATAAAGTACTTAGATTTATTTATAGAAGTTTTTATTAACCACCAGGATTTGTAGAATTATACACAGAGTTTTTTCTATGTTAAAATACATTTTATTTGCGAGCTTTCAGCCCTCTTACTGGAAACTTCATTGGACAACAATGTAAGGAGTGATATAAACTTGTTTAACTTTGGAACACTGCTTTAAAATAGGTATCCAGGCAACATTTGTAATAATAACTGACATCTGGTATTAAAGTTATTAATCATATAGAATTATGATGAGTATGGAAGATAAATTGATTGTTTCAGTATAATAAACATAAGGAAAATACAATTATAGGTGTTATATATAGAGAAATAAATATAAAGGAATTTTTCATACTTCATTTTTCATAAAGGTTTAATTTTACAATCTAAATAATGACAACTAATATGTTTTATGTCTTTCTTAAGTGGAGTCCTTGCAGTATTGAGCAGTTGTAGTACGTTGTTTTGATTAATACTCACTGTCTTGTGCTTGGATGGTAATAGGTTTTAATTTTTCTCCATTTGGTATTTTCTTCTCTATCTATTATGTGGTTGTTTTCCTGAACGTGAAATGCTATAGCTGATGTTTTTATAGTAGAGTTCTTAATATATCTTTGGTGTTCTTTGAGCCTTACCTGTAATGAGCATTGTATTTCCCCAAAGTGTTGTTTATTACACTCACACTGAGTGCTATAGACCACTTGTTTGTGAAAAGACTTGGAAATGGATATTTTATCTTCATTTAGGAAGGCCTCAGAAAGCTATGGTGATGTTAAATTTATTCATTATCAAAAGAAGTGTATCTTCTAGACCTGGTATATAAGGAAGAAATGTAT